GGCGTCTGCTATTTATTTCAACCAACCAAACCATAATGGTGTTCAGCTAACGTTGTATAAAACAAGTCAACTTTAATTACCAATTAACACTAAATATAGTGTCTGTTTATTACCAAATAATGTGGATTCATGTGTTTATGTAGCTATAATAAAACCACTCAAAAACTTATTTTTACCCTAATAAACAATACCGACATTTTTTGTCAGTGTTTTATCTATTAGATCTTACCAATTCAAGATTGTTTATTAGATAATTAAAAGATTGAAAATTGATTGATTGATTTATAAATTGTAATTGTATGTGTAATATATAGAATCTGTTTTTTTATTAATATTATTGAACTATATTACAGATTTTGAAAACAAAAAAAAATCCATAAAATTAAAAGAAAACAAATCAAAATCAACGTTATCTACTGAATAAACATACAAACTGTTTTCTTTTCATTGAAGATAATATTCAAATACTGACCAGGTCGACTAATAAACTTCATTATATAAAAGATGTAGTCACACGGACAACAACCAAATAGAAGTGCAGAATGTTTTAGCTATGGTAATCTAAATAAGATATACAATGTCTTTAAGTAACGTCTTTCCGTAAGTAAAACACATCAAAACAACGGTCATTACATATAACAACAGACATTTGGCATCTTTACCAAAAGGCTAACAATTTGATTAAAAAAAAGTTTACCTCTTTTGTCAATAATTTGTCAATGAGAATACCGTGCCGAATATAATCGAATGGTTTGGAAGCATCCACAAAAGTAACACACACCATGGCGTTACGTCGCTTATAATAATTTATTTAACGATTGAAAATTACTTGTCTGTGCCATATTAAAGCCAAATTGCCGGCTTATAGTAGTAAGAGAGTGATTCAGCAATCACAAATTCCGCTCCTGGAATTGTTGGAATATTGACTAAAACGGTTTTCATGGGATAGCTTTATGGCGGGAATATGCCAGCCTAGCAGTAGAACAGATAGAAAACAAAACACAGGCCCTAGAGGGCGCATAATTAAAATGAACGAAAGAAAACAGTTGTACATTCCAAATAAAGCACCTGATGTCAAACCATCAGTCAAAACTTCCTAATCGACCATCATGTCTGTACTTAACGGCGGCTGTGAAGTAAACGCCTGTATGAATGTATTAGTGATAATACATTCATAGCGTTGTTGCCACATCTCAGCAATCTTCACACCATCGGCACACCAACCAACTGCTACGGGCTCTGGTGATTTATTTTGATGTTTAGATATAATTTTTCCAGTTGAAATTCTGAAATTCTGTCGGCTTTCTTACAAAGAACCAGTTATCTTTTTAACTTATCTCTAAAGACACTTATCATCTCGAAGAAAGTATGTGACCCATTGTTCTTCGAATGTACTAAATTATTCCACACTGGCTTAACATATTTATTTGATGGCAAGTGCATGGAATAGACTTTTGAGCAGTACATATTAATGCAGATACAATGTCATTGCAAAATGTATCGATTACTCAGTATGTAATTCACAGTTTTTACCCATGCAGACGATTGCATCTACTATACTGTATTTTTCTTTCAACAATAGTTTATTACATAATATTTCATATTTTACCATAGCATGAACTATGTACCATTGTTTACAGTTCAATTTGAACTGAATAGAAAACATTATAGGAAAGGGATTGAATGTTAAGAAAATATAATTAACAATAGTATACACAGAATCATAACAGGTAAAGATGGTAAAGCCAACTTAGTGCTAAGCAGAAATCACTGAAAGATATATAAGAAAGTAATCAGAGGTAGGAGTTCCATGTCTATTCAAACAAATTATTATTCCTTACAAAATGTTCCGTAAATAAATACTGCTCTTTTTTCACATCCGCGTTATATGCCGTTTGTCAGGTATTTCAAGACGTATAACTCTATTCCCACTATTGATAGCGATTGGTTATCCACCATTAAAATATTTATGATACCTGGTTACACCATAAGCAGGGAAAACATTACGGGAACTGTTTTTTTGGGGAAATGCATTACCTTATATTATAACATTATAAATAATTAATATATACACATTTTAAATGCTTTTTTAGGACTATTATACATATGATGTATTTTTAAGAAATATGATATATGTAACTATAGTCCTATTACATAAATTAAACTGTGTTCACCTGATATTAAGCTGGTAGAGCCACATGTAGTGTGACTCTCAAACGAAAGATTAAACATAAATGATATTAAAACGATAAATTCTGCACACTCAAATATTCAAGTTTTCAGTCTAGTTATTCATTGTTATTTTTGGATAGAAGAAAAATCTTTTCCCAGGACTGAAAACATTGAAGGTTATTTTTAAATAATATGCGTTTTGCATATTTGTCTATACTTATAGTATCATGTTTCATGTGCCTATAAACACTGTAACGATGGTCTGCCTCCCGTCTGTGCAGGATGATAACATCATCACATTGAGCGATTCGTAAATATCCGAGAGCATCTACAAAAAACTCTCGATGAGCAAATCTTTCAAACGTTAAATCAAACCCGACCTTTCGAACTGCCTCAGTCTTTGCCATGAAGAAGTTTGTAACCATGTCTTTCAGTTTACAATTTGGAAATTCCTTGAGTGTTTTAATTGTTGTAGTTCTTTTCATGATACATCCACTGTCTTTTCCTTTGGCGTACTCAACATGAGACCATGCGTCCTTTGTTATAGTCTCAGTGACTACTCCTTTATGTAGTATGAGTCCAGCCACTAGGTCTAGCTCAGCTGTAGGGGATTCCAGTTTCTCTACAAAACGTTCTAGGATGGTGTCACTGGTAAAAACGTAATCATCATCAACCCATAGAAAGTACTTTGTGCGCACCTGACTGACCAATAAATTCTTTCCTGCATTATAACCTTCTAAAAACGGCATCAGAAAATGTTTAACATTGTTTCCATCAAGTTTTTGTTTCTTACAAGAATCATCGGCTATTATTATTTTTATGTTGGGATAGAATGTTCTGACACTTGAAATAAGGCGCTTAACACACTCATATCGTTCAAATGTCTTGGATACAATAGTGACTTTGCCACTGATGTTATTATAAGGTCCTGGATCATAAAGTCTGGGTACATGACTTCTCTGGATCACAATATTAATGACGATATGAAAATTATGCATGGAAACGTCAATGTAATCTCTCTGCCTTATATGGTGTTGCTGACCTGTGTATATTAAGTGTGAGAGGGCGCTATTTATTTGGTCAATATTTTCTGTCTGCATTGAAATCTGACCACTGTTATTGCCTTCTATATGCAGTAAATCTGTCATTGTGAAAGGCTCTACATAAATGTGTCCTAATGAATTTCTGGAAGTTAGTGTTATTCTCAAGTGTTTACTTGCTTTCAGCACAGAGTCTACTTCGATACCAACAACACGAACGGAGCTTAGAGGCTCGACAGTTATTCCAGATCCCAGGTATCGTATAGGGGACATAGCTGGACACAGTGTCATTGGTTCAGCCATTTTGTTTTCTTGTCTCTCCCATTCCATATATTCTCTTTTCTGTCTGTGGCGAGTGTTCATGTCAAGAGACCTAATAGTTGGTTCTAGACATGAACATTTGCTGCCTTGCTCGAATTCCATATTCTGTTTTAGACTGTACATAGTTATATTTGATTTAAAGTTCTTCATCACTGGTAACATTTCTGGAATCGACACCGGTTTATATAAAATGATAAAATTCAATCCAGTCAGACAGAGTACAATTACACGTAAGTAATTACCCATGCGCATAGTCATGGTATTAGGAGAGGTCTGGAGAAATAGAAAAACTGATTAATGTCAAAATATGGCAACAAGTATACACTACATCTTTGTTGTATATTGTTTATTTCTATCTATCAATAATAACATGTGTTTTTATTATAACCCCATCGGTGTTAGTATTTATTCACATGGAGAGTTTGAAACACTTTAAGAACTATCGTGATCTTCAACCTAAGTTCAGTCAATATTGTGTTTGATTCATTGACGTTGGAACAGGTTTATAAGCTTTTGTTTGACTTTGACCTTATTATATACAAAAATACAATACGCACCATACTACTGCATTCTTTGTTTATGATTAAATAAATTTATATTAAATAATATATTAGCATATCATGGTTTTCTTTCAAAAATTTACCAATGCCTGTGTATTTTGAGTTGTTTAAATATGAAAATGAATGATACATGCGACGCAGTATTTTGGAAAGTGTGGGACATTTTGTCATCATATTTTGAAAGCTTAATTTGCAGCATTGCTAGTGTACCACAAAACTCATATAGACGCATGGAGACAAGTACGAAATAGATATTTAAAATCGGTTCTTTAAACACCAGTACGTAGATCATTTAGATCAAAACTGCATTTTATGCACTAAATTATTCCCATCGATGCCTGAGACATTTACATTGATCGACCAGTCATATAATACCAGTTCGTGGATTACGTAAATTCGCATTGACGATTAATTGGTACGCAATGACAGTGGGGCTAACGCAATCAAGAACGGACAGTTAACCAAGTATGCTGCATTTGATTTCAAATTTCTGATCAACTCGAAGGTACCATTCTTTGTTCTATTTCTAGTACTGTTTCGTTGGATGGAGTTGTTATATATAAAATACAAATACCGTTGAGTGACAGATATGAAATCAACTGCCAGGACAAGGTTTTATGTAAGCTGGGAATTAAATATAGCTAAAATTATCTCTTCCTTGGTTTCCACTGTATAATCACAAAACGTAGGCACCAGAAACCGATTCGATTTTTTCACTTTGTATGTTTAGAACGATTTAAAATCGTTTTGCTAAAATATCACAAAAGGCCTTACCTGGTATACTGAATGAAAACTCTATTTCTTTAACCAGTTATGCACGTTGTTGACGTGTTTCAAAATACTACAATTACAGGCAACATCGATCGTCACGCTGATCACTTTCTAGTTCACGAAATATAATCCTCGTACAGTTGTGATTCAATCAATTGCTAGGTAATGCGCACAGCGCGGTAATGCGTTCAATTGTGACAGAAACTCCAGTGAACTTTGCTTCACACTCTGTATACTGTATACTATTAGTGAATATACAGTTCTAGGACGTGTGTTTTTGGTCGCACCCTGTCCCTGTTTTGATTGAAACAGTATAGGAAAGACAATGGGTAAGCCAACAATCACACCTTGCAAAGTTGCAAAAAGCGTGTCCAAAATGTTTAAATTATGACACAACATGGCACAGAAAGCAAACGGTAGTTGAGATATCGTTGAAAACTCTGCCACGCTGTTTTCTCCGTCTAATTGAGTAATGCAAGAAAGTATATGATACAATGGACGCAATTATATAATGCGTCGTCCCGTTTTTCCGATGTTGCGTTCTTTAGTTCTACGAAGAACTTGAAATACAAGCATATGGACGCTTCTCAGCAAATACAATTCACAAAGCCTTTAATATATTTCTGGGATTAACTTCGAATTACGTAATGTTTGCATAATTAATGGTAGTAGTGGGTAGTACATCACCTCGGCCACAATTTTCACATTTCTCCGTTCTAGTATTACGCAATAAAATATGGTTGTACCGAGAACACACCAAAATACGCATGAAGGCAGTACAGCTGTCAAATCGAGCGAGGCGTACCATACTGCTTGAGTGCATATTTTGCGGCATTCTTTTGATAACCTTTGATATGCTTGCAATAATAATTTAATGAGAGATGTCGTCCTGAAATGGCATTGAAAAACTGTTTGCGCTGTGCATATGTTTGCGTTCTGTGACAAGATTATATTGTCGTCACCCTATGGCGATTCTTTGAACGATTTAGGCAAAAGTAATTTTTCGAATACTACGTTAACAAGCCGCGTTAATATTAATGGACGAGTAGCGGAGGTCGATGCCATTTCATACTGCTTGATTGCACACTGTCCGGTATTGTTATACATCTCTGGTCGTAGCAGCAAACCAATTAGAGATAACATTGAGCTAAAGAAAACTATTTCCAGCCACATTGATCTCGCGTTGTATTTTATACTTTTCAATATTGCATTTTAAATCAATATTTTGGTTGAACATCCCACAGTTTGTAAAAAAAATAGTTTTATATGTCAATATAACACAAGATTAAAACTTCAATTTACATAAAATTAAAACAACAACCCTTATACAAATTGGATTATAGAATTATTCCCAAAAGAAAGTTTTTTTTCCTCTTGATCTACCTAAAAAATGGTCTGCAATAAGGAGTATGTTTTTTCTGGAATCAATGTATTGTTAAGAATTTGCATTCTTTGGATGTCTAATAAATATCTAAAATTTGCCAAGGAAGTGGGATGGCATGGTGCTTTATAGAAACATATAATCGATACGATACAACATCAGTTGCATTATGTGTGTGTTGCTGGTTATTTATTCAATTGAAAAAATTGTTTCCCAGGACTGAAAGCACTGAAGATTATTTTTAAATGATATACGTTTTGCATATTGTGCTATAATTTGTTTCATATGACCCATAACACTATACCAATGTGTATATTTTCGTCTATGCAGGGTGATGACATCGTCACATTGAGCGATTCCAAAAAACAGCCCACAAGCAGCCTATCGGCTGATATAGCTCCGCTGTTAGCAATTCACATTTCAATTAAATAACAGAAGATATCATTAGAAAATGAACAATATGTAGATTTGCTGTTTTTAACAAGAATTCAAAAATATCACTTTTTACCAAAAATGACAAAAATTATCATCAAAATTAGATAATTGAAGATATCACCACGAAATTAACAAATCTGGAGGTCCACATGTAGTACCTATAATATGTAATATAAAAGCAATCGGACTTGTAGTTTTTAACAAGAAGTCACAAAATATCACATTTTACTAAAAATCACAAAAATATTCATCAAAACTAGAGAATTGAAGACATCATCACGAAATAACCACATCTGAGAGAGGTACACATGTAGTAACTATATATGTAATATCAAAGCAATTGGCCTTGCAGCTTTTAACAAGAAGTATAGGAATTATCTTTGCCTGGCATCAACAAATTTTAGTTCCATTGGGGCATAAGAAATCTGATAGATTCATTTCAAAAAAGTTAATTGTTAGCAACAATGGCAATCAACTTAGAAACATGGAAAAACGTGTCATTTTTTTACGGGGACTATGGAATCTAAGGAAATTAATAAACTGATTACACGACGTGCTTGTAATATGCCCTCGTAATTTGTCTGCAGTAGTATTTAATGCTATTACATGGAACTTTGTAATATACGTAGGTTTCACTGTGTAATATTCACAAAAAAATGCAACAGGGGCGTATAAATTGAATTTGTAAATTTCGGTATTAGCACAGATCACCATGTGACAGAAGAAAACCACGACAATGAAATGGATGCTTCCAAATGCAACCATGGAAACCAGGTCCATGAATGTATGTGAGGCATATAAATTATCTGCAAATGTTACTGTGCAGATTAAACAGCCATTCCACAATGAGCGTGAAATAAAGCTCAGTGGAATCTCCACATTCCTGCAATATTTAAACCTCTGTGAAAGCAACACCTGGATATTGCATGTATCACAACTGACACAGTAAGGATTATATCTACTGCAGTGAAAGCTAATGTGATTTTTTTCGATTGTCATGTTTAATACAAATTTTGAAGCACGTCGTCTAAAACGGGATTGCAGTAGATAATCAAACCGTTTTCATTCAAATTACCAGGTAAGGTCATATTATACTATATAAATGTAGTAGGTAATCACATGCAATTAATCAGACGTTTCGTAACTTATCTTCATGATAAATATTAATAGAAAGAATGAGAGATGGTGGAAAAATATACAAAATTGTAATCATAGTAAATGACGTTCTTTCCAAATCAGAAAATATTTTGATTTATATGCATCTATATTCGCATTTGATTTATATGCAACAACACAAACCCAAGAAATAGTATTATGCAACCTAGAGTATTGTGGCCTGATAAAATGGTAAATTGCAAATGTTCAGTAAAGCGATCCACTAGCTGATGCAGTGTCAAATCAATACAAAATATCCCGCATTTACTACATGTAATATACTAAACCACAATATTGACGAGACAGCTGATTCTACTATCGCTTGCAACAGTAACGTTATGACCAGAAACACAAGTGGAATCCACAATAAAGGGCATGTGTCACACCTCAGAGGATCACAAGGAATAGAGCCATACATTTTACATAAATTACACAACCAATTATGAAATTATCTTAGAATATCCTTAGAGTTGCTTACCAGTCATTTACATTATACTGGACGTCAAAACATTTATCACAGAAAATGGCACAACGTTGCAAATGATCAATGCAGCAAAACCACTATTCATCTATTAATATGCAAATTAGTTAGCATTATTGTTCTAATTCAGGCATCACAAATCATCAATAAAATAAGTACTACTCAGTGAGCACTCTTCAGATTCCTCCACTTTTTGTGGAGATTTTAGAAATAATATATATGAACTCAAAATTAACATTTGTGCTACACATTCTGACGAACTGAACCGAATGTTAAAATGAACAACATATTTCGGTGAAAATACTATTGGTGAAAATATTTAAAAAAAAGTGAAGCAAAATCACTGAGATTATTATATGTCCCATGTTTGATTTATGTTGCATGTTACACTGTACCATCTACAAGGCAATGGTGGAACCAGTATTATATTTAATCCCCTGGTATTCACCAATTTTAAAGGTAAAATTGTAACTTT